CAGTATAGACGTTGTTAAGGGATTTTTGAAATTAATATGGTTAGGTTACTCTACGGACCGTGAAAATTGCAAACTTGAGCGTAAGAAGGCTTTCGCATGTTTTATGTGGGATTTTCTTGATGATAGTTTGGTTTCTTGTACTGTTTGCATTGTTCATTACGATAGGAAGAGTTCACTCGTGAATTGTTGATCAGTGAAAGTCAATTAAGACATGAGCATCACATATCTTATTTCTACTTATTTAATCACTTACACTCGTATTGATATCCATTTGTTAATTAAAAGAGCATCATCATCACCTTTTTGTATTCAACCAACTTGTCGCCATCTTGTATCCTTATTATCTGATCACTCGAGCATTTTGAGTCTAAAAATGTAGCGTGATATCAATCATTTAAGTCAAGAAAAGGCGAATTTATCTGGATGAGTAAGCGTGGCATGTTTTTTCACTGCAACAACGTCGGAATACACTGGGATCGAAATGTTATTATAACCTTAGTGCTCATTACTTGTAACTCAATCGTTCCTTCTTTTACCGTTTGGTAAGCATGGTGATTTTAAGTCCATTTCGAATCCCATTCGTAGGAAAAATAGTTGCAGACGTGAGATCAAAGATGATTTTCTCTCTTTAAACAAAATTGACATCTTTCTACCTTTTTTCCTAAATTTTCGACCAAAATTTGAGCCTGATTTCATTTCGATTTTCGGCCTTGATGCCAACCATTTTTTTGTTTGATTGCTCAGATGTGGCTGTGACAAGGTTCATTTTCTGATCCTACATCAGTGATAGCACATTTCTGTGTCAATGTATGGTGGGAACCTTTTCTATTTGGGATGTTGGCAGTGTGTGATGCGATGATATTGAACCTATTCGCATGTTCTGCTTCTTGTTTAGATTCACATTTGAAGACTTACGTCAAACTCAAAGTCGATTTACGTTTATATACGAGAACGACTTGCAGCTCTACTAAATGTATTACTAATTCATACTATCTTCTTTAGGATGGCGCAACTGACAGCTCGTACAGTTCTGTCATCGCTTTCAAAGCGCACATTGATGCCTGCTGTTGTCTCACGTCGTTCGCTGGCTACTGAGGCTTCACCTGAAGATTATGGTTACTACCCAGACCCTCTAGAGCACGCCACGGGTCGTGAGAAGAAAATGCTCCTAGCGCGTCTTGCAGGAGACGATGTGGGTTCTAACTCATTTTGACTTGTTTCTGTTATGGTATTGTTCAATATCTAGTAAACTTTAACATTATCACACTCTTTTATCAAATCCACTAACCAGGGAGGGGTAGTCTACTTATCTTGGAACTTTGAATTCGATAGGAATCGATAGGGTTTTGAATGCTGTTTACGAAAATGGAAATT